GCAGTGAAAGAATGCACTGAAAAGAAACATCCCTTCTACTAGGCTGATATCAGTTTACAATGCTACCTGCTCACGTAGTCAGTGTAAATGTATATAAATCCCTTTCTCACGTCACCTCCAACCATATTTACCGAATACATTGTACTTGTGAAACCAAGTTCATAGGTAGGACTGAGAAATGATTATCTACTAGGTTTTAGGAGAATGTCCCGAGAAATTAGTGCCTGATAAGGAGCAATATATTTAAAAGTACCGTAGTCGGATACCTGATAAAAATTGGATGCTAAATAGATATTTCCGAAGTCTTCAGAATAATGAATGAACAATTATTAAGTTTACTTGACGTTTGTGTACAAAATAAAGACTGATTAATCTTTCCTCACACCGGTAATTTGTTGTCATTGTGGGTAACATCATTTCTGCCTTTCTACCTAAATCTAATGAGGAACGATCACTTCAGTCTGTTTGGTGGCTAGGAGTAGAATCTAGGACGCGCGTTTCCTCTTGTTTGAGACTCGTCAGTTGGATGTGCCTGCACGCCAGTGAGTGATGTGCTCATTGAGACTTGAATCCAGTACCAATCCCTCCAAACGCCAAGACGTTATCCACTAGGTTACCTTGACGTGGTGGTTGGGCTTGGATATTACAATGACCCAACGAGCTATGCTGGTGCAACGCTTATCCCCTTGGGGTTCTGCCATGCTAGAAAGGTTTGTTGGATAGTGGTAAGACAAAGAGCAGTTACTGTTGTAGTGTAAATTGCTGCACTATGAGGAGGAGTCTGAGTGCGAAGTCGTACTTCTGACTGGATGGGGAGTGAAGGCAGTCCGGTATTTTCCTTAGATGACCAACAGTGCCAAGCTGATGCTGCCTTCCCAATGGGAAGGGGAGGTTGGAAAAGGTCAGCCCCAAAAATAACACATTCTACTCTACCCCACGGTCTTCCGTTACCGGCGGTTCAGGTTATGTCTATCCGGAATTAGAACAACCAAACCTCAAAATAACATCGCACAAAAACCCGTATGTAACAGGTTTCAAGCAAATATCCTATGGATCCTGTAATCACATAGATCTTTTTTCTCCTTCAGATACCTTAAGGCGAAATAGTCTTTTGTAGTGTGGGGAGCCAGAAAGTGTCAACAGCCCGCACGCTTCCAGTAGTGCAAGAAACTCAGTTAAACATAACCTATCCTTCTCAACTCTATCTCCTCCTTTGCCTTCACCTCCTGATACTGATATTAGGCCTCTTACGCCCTACACACACTCACTCTGTGACCATTGCCAACGATCAAAGCCATCAAAACTGCATTCCTAGCCTCCTTAGACCATGTCATCGATTTCATGTAGGAGTTTTCAATGACTGAATTCTATGCTACATCGGACAGCAAGCATCGCTCTCCAAAACTGGAATCTCTGGCCATGGATGAATGCTGTATAAGACGAGTACAAGACCCGAGTGTGGTTATTAAATATGCCTCACCTACCCATAGTAGTGAATCTTCAAAATCCACTTTACTAGTGAGTATCCGGAGACTCAGTGTCTAGCTCTTCCTGGTGTAGGCATAGCATTGAGTTGTAGAGCAGAAAGTGTTCTTCTCGACTGGATACTAGTCAATACCCGTCCATGTGGTGTTCGACTGAATTGATCTATAAGGACTAGGAAGGATCTGGAGGCTAGGTGATACCTATTCGTAATCTCCGCCTACGCACCCACGGACCGCAGTCCGGATGGTGCAAAGGAGGGATTCCATGAGAGGCTTTCATTTTTGCTACAAAAAGCGAAACGTTCAGATGTTATCATAATGGCAAGTGACTGTAGCTCTGGAGTAGGGAAGGTGAGCTTCGCCAATCGGAGAGGCATCTGGAAGGTATTTACGAAATGGTATAGTGGCGAACCGACAGTGGTGGTGGTCTGTCGCAATTTTGTTCTTACTATCATTTGTTTCTGGCCAGCACTAACTTTAGGCATAACGAGAGGCACATAAGAAGATCGCATTGCTATGAGCCATCATTGGAGAGGATCGATGGAGGATTGTGGCTGTTTCAAGAGTACCACTTTGGACTCCGGTCACGCGCTAGTGCGGGTTCGTGTATGTGTGCCTTATTGACGGCAGGAAACAGGAATCAGTGAGGCTCATCTGTGCTCGTTCAGTGGATGGGGACGCAAAGTATGAATTTAGAGAATAGCTAGGCATCTTTCTGAACATGGCAGCAATGTTCACCCTAAGGAAACCTGGCGTGATATAAAGTCTGCTGTACAAATAGCGGTAAGCACAATTAGTAACATACATCCAAAGGTTAGTAAGCGCCATTTGATTTCCGCGACGGTGTCCGAACTGAGTGATGAGAGAAGACTGATTCCAGCTGGCTCTGATCACAAAAAGAGCGAAAGCAACTTAAACGTAAGTTTATCAAGAATCTTAGCGTCGATCGCGAGGAGTAGTTGGTGACGAAAGCTGTGGGTAACACGGCAACTATTTAGGCTTATTAAGGATACCAGCAAGAAAAACACTATGGTGAATGAAGTCAACACTGTAGAGAATGGAATGCTGATAACCTTTCATGACACACGACTAGAACGTCGGGTAGAAGACTAAAGTTCAGTTCCATTGGCTGCCAGCAACGTTTCAGTTGCCCAACATCCAACCTGGACTTGTATGGCTCGCAGATATCGGTCTTCCAATTCTTCTTGAAGTTGAGAAGGCTTTATCGAACCTGGAATGATGCAGGGTAGCAGGATCTGACAGTTTGCCACCTGAAGTTTTCAAGGCTGGATGTAGCAGATTACTGATAAGAGTGACGAAGGTACTAGATAGTGAATGGAAATCAGTGGTAGCGCTGTCAAAGTGGTGTACTTCACTTATCATTCCAGCACATAAAAAGGAAGAGAAATGTTCTTGTGACAACCATAAGGGAATTAGTTTGACTAATATTGTGTCCAAGATCCTAGAATTCATGATTATCCGATGCCTAACTGGAGCTCGAAAACAGCAAGCTAGAAAACGCCAGACAGGTCCCACACGTGAGCGAGGGTGCATCGATCATATTTTCACTCTACGACAGTTTCTGGAACACAGGCATACCTACCGGCTAGTTGCCGACAGTTGTTCTGTTTTCTGACCTAAGGGTGGCATTCAACTCTCTCTGTCGTGATATATTGTTGCAGTGTCTGACTGAGAGGGGTACTGAGCAAGTGAATAGTACTAATCACAGCTCTCTACTCGAACTCGTATGGGTGTTTAAGGGATTGTGGAGTGTTGTCATCTGAACAGACGACAACCGGTGGTGCGCGCCAGGGATTGTCCAGTATTATCTTTCCTGTTTAACTTCGTTATGGCGTGTAGATGTGAATGACGTTGGGTACCTCTGAGTTCTTAGGGTTTAAGCTTATCCTTCCTTGTAGAGTAGGTGATTAAGTTGTAGTACTAGAGATGACAGTATCCTGTTGATTGGAGATGGTGACAAAATGCAGAGTGATGTAAATGTCTTTTGTATAAATCTGTATATGTCTATCGTATATGCGTTTCGCACTTGTCAGATGTAAGATGATAGATACTTCATGACTGATTAATGAGTGCTTCGAGTTTAAGGATAGGTAGTGAATTAGTAGAATGCGTTGGGTGTTGCACTTACGTGTGGAGTTGCATCATATCGAATGTGTCTGTTTCTGACGAGGTGTGTGCTGGTATTTAGATGGTGTGTTTGTGATATACGGACTTGCGCCATCTCTGGGACTAAGTGTCGAGATATTTGACTACTTGTTGGAGTACGAGTGTTCTAGGCTGTAGATCGTTCTGTCCTGTTTTGTGTCTTTGAGACATGTTCGTTGGTAGTAGAGGATATGAAGAAAATGTAGTTTTCTGTCAACTTTTGTGTCTGTGGAATCACTCACATATAATGAAATCAGTATGTGAGCAGTGGGAAGGTTATTTGGAAAGCACTAGAGGAGACAGTAAAGTTGGTAGGATGAGGTTGTGAACCTTCACCTACTGAGGTGGCTTGGACATGTGTACTACATGCCGAGCCATTTCCTACCTTGACATGGGATGTTTGATTGGGTTGTAAGAAAGAGTGGTGAGGGTGGTCTGATCGAAACGTTGCTGCAGTCGATGAAGCCCCATTGTTTATTCATTAGATTGCCCTCCGGGGATTGTCCGGCCGAAAGGAATTAATGAAAGTTGGTCACAATGACGCACGTGTATGAACTGTTTGGGGTCTTCCATAGGATGAATGTCTTCACTTACCTTAGTTTTCGATTTCGTCTTCTTCCCTTACGCTTTTGCCTGCTCTGATATCAGGATTTCTATACTCACTTTCATTTTGTTGCCAAATGTGGCATTTCTTAATTATGACTTTCTGTGCTCATGAATCTTTAAATAAGGTGTTTTCAAGCTTTTCTAGCTGGATTCGGTTGAAGTGCTTCAGAGTTATTTTTTTGTAGCGTTGATTTCACTCCATCTCACTTTTAGGATTAAATTTGGTAATATATAACTGAACGTTATTCTTAAGTTGCTTTTTGCTTAGCATGTACTAAGGGGCGCTGGTACTGTACGTGCTGACTACTTTCCTTATCTCTATCGGAACTTCGACCTAGTTATCATGTATATTGTAAATCTCAGTTTACCATTACTTTGATAAGGTTACTATTAGTGGGAGACAGCCAAACATCAGTGAAAATAAGCTTGTTTTTCATTCATCAGGAAGTATGAATAGCATCATACTGGATATCATTTACCCAGTGTCCCGAAAAGCGTTTTCAAACTACCAAGTTGGTTTAGATATCCATCAGCCGAATCATTTATTTTCGTTTTGGGTCAACCACCTATCTGGCTACATAACTTAGCTCTAAATATATTTTCTTAACTATCCATCTCAGATAATATAACACAACTTAGGTCATTCACCTGAGCTAAAATATATTCTCCTTCATTTCTTTTTTTCCCTACCATATTTCTGTTTATCCTCGATAATAACTTGGATTCACTATTTCCCTTTTTCAGCTCACTGGCTATCAGTGAATGGGAAACAGCCTACATCACCACAAAATCCTCCACCAGACTTTTTATCAAAAATGTCTTTGCTGAATAATTCTTTTGGATATACTAAACAGAATGGTGATAAACGACTTTGTTTAGAAAGCAGTGATACCTGTTTATTATCAAATGCAAAACAGTCTAGAACAAGTTTACATAATAGTCAAGAAAAATTGGATTCAACGTCCTCATCATTGTCTCATCCAAGAAAAGTTTTAGCAGTATCTGTTGAGGTAAATTTGTAGGGCTCTTTTTTGCTTGATATTCATGTGAAACACTGACGATCATATACATATAATGCTAAAAGATAACTTTCGAGTTCTGATTGTCGATTATCTGATTAAACATGTGACTTTCAACCAATAAGTCCCAGGTTCGAACCCCATTCCTCCTCCTTCAACCTGAGTAGTTGGGTAGAGCATACATAGTGTGTAACGTATATCCTAGTAAGTAGCTCTTTCACTTAGTTGAACTGTATCAATTTACTGAATCCATCTTAGTCGTACTCTATGGCTGTTTTCATCACTATCTAGGGAAGTTTTGAAAAGTTTTATTCACATCCATGTAGTTATTCAATCTTTTCTCATACACTTTTGTCAACTTTTATGCTATTTGTTTTCTTACCTTTTGTTTCCGTGCTGCTGTTGCAACTCGAACTGATGCACTTATGTGCCGCGTTTTACGCTGATCTGTCTATCTCTAGACGATGAATTCCACATCCTTATTATCTTAAATGAAGTTATCAATCTTTGATCGACTAGGCTAAGCATTACTGTTTTATCTTCCAAGATATTAAATGATAGTGCCATTGTGAAGTATGCGGTTACTTTAAGATGTCACGACTTTTTCTGGAACTTGGGATAGCTAACTCAAATTGTTATTAGCTATCAAGAATGATTAATTTGCGATACATTTGAAGGTGATGGTACATTTAAGGCATTTTTATATTTCTCCTTTTCACTACTTTGCTAAATATGAGTGCCCATTTATGCCTTCATGAAGTAGTCAATAAAGAGTGATGTGAGATAACAACTTCATGAAAAGAACGTTTATTAATATCAGCATATTTCCCATGGATTTACGTTAGCTACAGAACCATTAAAATTAAGGCCCACTGAGCAACTGTTCCATTTCACTTGATAGACTCCCTCAGGAATATGAACATCATAATCTAATTGAACACTGAGGTCAGAATGATGTTCACTAGTGATTTCATGAAGCCAGACTTCCTCTCTTAGAGTTAGTTAATGATCCATGCAGAAACAAATCAGTCCATTCAACCAATCAGAATAAAGTAGATTAAAATTAATGTGATGATTAGAAGAGAATTAAAACGTTCATTCAAAGAGTTCATGTGTTCAGTGTTAGGTGGTTTGAGGCAATCTACACGTGACCTTGCTTGATTGGTGTGGGTATGTGTTTCGTACTGTTATTTCATGATTCTGATGTTCTTCTTGAAATTCGACCCATACCGCCCAGTTTTGTCATCAGTGACGTTACCAATGACATTCTTCATCTGCATGACTAGCCTAGTAACCTAAAATCAATCGAATTGAATTTCACTGACAAGTCTCCAACTTGGAACTAGACAATTTGATATTAGTTACTGTACAGTGACTGGTCATTGTACACAGTCTGTTCATCGTGTGAAATCCAGAGAAATAAAGTTAATACATACATCACGTTTAGCAGATTGATTATTTTATCATCAAGATGCTTATTTGTACGAAATATTTTAATGTTCACTAGAATAGTGTTTACACCTTTGCTATCAGTATTCTTCTGTGTATGCACATGTTTGTTAGAACAAAAAATCATGTACGATTGTAAGCCATCTCAAGCATCCTAACTTGAATTGAGTTTACTGGTTGGCTGGATTATCACTCCCGTCCATGTTGTTAGAATATTCTTCCTTTGGAGAAGTTTGTATCACGGGTTAGATGATGCCAGTTGAAAAACGGTTGACAACATTGGAACATTGAAAAGCTAGTTCTTCCTAGTTTTGGACTCACCAAAGCTGCCTAGTGCTCTCAGCAATTCAGTATTTTCTCAACTGATGTTGTTGTATGAAGACTCTATGAATCACCAATTGAGTCGTTTTTTTCTCTTCTTTCTTATACCACTAGCGTCGTCCTCATGAAATCAGTCAAGAAGTGATGATCTATTTTCGAGAGTTAACAGAAGCGTGTGTAGGTGCCAATGAAACTCGACGGCATGAAGCTTTGGATAATGCCACCTTAGATCCTGGACTTCAGCCAATATTACCTCATCTTATGACATTCATTACAGAAGGTGTACGTATTATTCATTTTCTTATTGTTTATCATCTTGTGGGGATATTTTTTTGTAATTATTAGGTATATTTTAATGTTTTAGTTGTGTGATAAAATTCATTTACGGTCCTAGCAACCAGATGAAAACAGTATATGGTGAAAAATGAATGATTAGTGTGTGAGGTATTTACAAATTCCATGGTTCAGTCAACTATAGCATCTTCAGCATGATTTTGTTTTGATAACCACATGTGGTTAACTGTAAAATCTATGGAATTGAACCATTTATTCTATGATCTGTCTATCCATTCAAATCAGCTAACCAGATTGAGTTGGTCTGAAAAATACAGCTTTATGATCTGATTTTGTCGGAATACATCTGTCGACTAATTAGATCGCAAATTAGCAGAACAAGTATCTGGTGTTCAGATTACTTTAATCTGGCTGGTGAAATCCACAGATCATCCTAAGTGCTTACTAACAACTACTTGAATGCGATATTGGTTTCCGGACATCAGGTGGCTACCAAAAAGTAAATGAATTATTCCCACCTTTTTCTCTGCTATTTTTTATTTGAACAAGAGGTTGTCTGTAATTATCCCATAAACTCGTGGTAAATGATTTATTTCTACATGCATGAGACAGTTTGTAATTCCTACTTTCTAACCATTAAGAAATTCCATGATAGTCTTAAGTGTGAAGCTGTGGCTCATTGGTTTCGGCAGTTGATGTTCAACCTAGTGGGTAACGGGCAACTAGATACTATCATTAGCCTTTAGAAAATATATATGACTCATAGCCTACTGGACTAACGTGCACAAGGTTCCTTAGTGAGTTTCGATTCGAGTCTTAAGTTGAACTGTGGTTCAGTACAGTAGTCAGGATAATTAACTTTCAGTCATTAACCTACATGTTCTATCATCGTTACAGTCACCGAGATTTAAGCACATCGAGGAGTACCGTTAGCCGTTACACAATGAATTATAGTTACTGCCTAACATGTAAACTTGCATGTCCATCAGGTAAAATGACATTGCTGCCCTAGTGATTCAAATTGCCACATCTCATATTAAGATATGAAACAAGAAGGAAGAGGAATACAAAAAAGTAGTCAAAAGTCGTGGAAAGTTATGAAGAGCGGAAAAACAAACTACGAAATATGGTATGAAAATTAGGATAAAGATGGGGTGTGGATGCAAATTGACCAATATGATCTGGAGTCTGCAATCATCAATTTTGGTTGTCACCTAGACTGGGACCTCAGTGTTTACATTGCTTTAAATAGCTCAAATCAATAGTGAAAGACTTCACTGACTATCTTTAACTTTTTTCCAGCCTAACCCTACTTCGGCTAACATCATGCGATGGGGATAGACAGTAACTAGACAAGCACTTCTCAGCCATATAAGCAGATGAAGGTTCGCAACTTCATCAACGGACTTGCCATTTTTACCTGAGGCACTGCAGCTAACCTCTGTGGAACTATGGCTCATTGGTTTGGACCGTTGAATTTTAACCAATGGTTTGCGGGCTCGAATCTCACCCCGCGTACCGAGGTCAACTAGTATCACTAACTCGCATATTAGAGGTATGGTTCGTTGCTTACTCCACGGGGTTACTGAGTGGGCTTCGTCTCTGCTGGTACACCTAACCTCTACATTACTAAAGTAGTGATTTCACGGTGCATGGATAGTGTTACGAAGACAACAGTGGTCGATGAACTGAAGCCTTCTCTTTTCCTTCATTTTTGTTGCTATTTATGAGACATATATTGGAACGGAGTGGACCACTGTACAGTTTAATAGGTTTCCTAAAATACAGTTGGATATCACACCGGTACTATAGATGGTGTAAGTTGGTGAAGATTAACTGAACTTTTGTTTTTATACCGAGGTTTTTTCGATCACTAACCAACTTTTGTTTTTTTACTCAAATCCAATATCTATTAGTGACTTGCCCAGACGCAAACATTTTTTAATAATTATGACACATTTGCTTTATTAGATGTTAGTTGGTTGGAGGCAATTTGAAGAAAGCCGTGGACTTCGTGCTTGTTGGCACTCTATGGGATTCTTATTCGTTAGATTTCAATAAAATGACTGGTTTAGGATGTTCAGTATGTGTCGCAATCAGTTATCACCGAACAAATTATTTTCATTACTTTACACCCCTAGACTTTTTATCTGATAATCATATGACTGCTGCCACCATCTGAACTGGGTGTTAAAATTACAAAGCTTTCATTACCATTCTAAAGAATACGAGAGCTAACTTCAAGTGGGATTTTGAGTTCCACCATAAGTGGCTGACTGCTGCACCCTTCTGATAACCTTGGATGAGGTTGGTTGACCTCAAAGACCTGGTTATCATGAATGTGAGCACCTGCAGATTTTATCGATTACTTCGTTAACTTGATATTTGATCGTGTAAAGTACATGAATTTTCCTGCATTGGTTGTCCGACAAACCCTTCGAAAAAACTCTTCAGCATTCTCTAAAGTCCCGTCTATTCAAGAGGTTTTAACAATTTTCCCATTTCAGTTTGTAGTTGTTTGTATCCATCCATTTGAAGGATTGTGTATGTTATCTGCTACACTTTTTTTGCGTCCATGAATTTGTAAGTGACGGGTGCCACACTCACTTAACGTATGTAATGTTGGTCTTCTGTAATTTTTCACTCACTTTTGTCTATATGGCATGCAGTGAAGCAACTATTTTCAGTTTATGAATGGCAGTAGTTCTAAATAGTTTCTGCCTTCTATTTCGGATTTTGAAGACTTTTTTTACGTGCAGTAGGATAGATGGTTTACTTTATAATTGTTAAGGTTATTTTGATTGGTTAGTGTATATCTTTTGGTGCAGTAATTTTTCTTGGGGAACATGCAGGAAGTGTCATTTCTCCATCCTGCCTGTCCTACAGGAGTTGATCGTAACACTTTGGCTGTGAGGAGAATTTATTGTTTCGGCACACTGTGAATGAATGTGACTACAACCGAGTGAAACAGTCCTCTTTTGGCTAGATTCTTCCGGACTGTCTAGCGAAATTTACAGATCAGAATGAGTGTAGTTTCTAACTGCTCATATTGCTTAGCAGTATAGTTAAGCTCTTTTATTGTCAATTATTTGCTATTTTGCCCTCATCGTATGCACTTTTAAAATTATCTTCTTCATGTATATTTTGTGGGTTTGTTCCTTTTATTCTTCAATTTATAGGTAAGAATCAATGTGACAAATCATAATCTTGCTATACTCATTTATTTAATGAGATTAGTGAAAGCGCTTATCGACAACCCGCACATCTCACTTGAACCGTATTTACACTTACTTGTGCCTACAGTAATCACATGTGTATTGAATCGTCAGTTATGCGCTAAACCGATAACCGATAATCATTGGGCATTGAGAGATTTTGCCGCGAAACAATTGGCAACACTGTGTAACAGGTAGGTTGTATGTAGTCAATGAAAGTATATTTTTATACTATTCTGTTTAACGGTTTTGAGAAAACATTAAGTTCAATGAAGGCATGTTTTTCTTGGCGATTTCATTCTCTACAGTCGTACAAACACCATGCTGCACTTTTCGTACCTATTACATTGCATAATTGCAAGGATGGTTTAATGAAACCTAGTAAAAAAGACCAGGTTGAATAAAGGTCAGAAAATCACAAGTCATATGTAACGCGTAGACTGATAATAGAAGACCATAGAGACCAATATAGTTAAAGTCATGAATGTTACATTAGCATCTATCTGGTCTGGACGTCGACTTAGGGAAGAATACAAAATCGAGTATAATTATCGTGTGATGGTAGTTCAGTCAACCAGTACAAAAATCTGCAAATCGATATAGATATCCTAGGAATAGTATTGTGCTGTATTTTTAAACATTTAGATATCCATTTCCATTTGGCCTAACATCTTTTCTGTGTTTCGTACGTAGCTTGAGAAACGATCGTTTGAAAACACTTAAGAAAGGTATGAGAGTACATGATACATTTAGGAGACATGTTTAAAAGATTAAAACAAACAGAAAGGGAAGAATTTGCTAAAATATCTTCGAAGCAATTAATCCCTTTAATAAATTTCGATAACGCTATTTGAAGACGAAGATTATCTGAGAAATTTGATGTATTTGCCCAATACATTTCGAATACTCTGACCACATATTCGCTTGTCAAGTCAATTTATATATGAAAATAATAATATAATCAATAAGGATTACGAAGGTAAATTAAGTGAAACAACAAATTGTTTTTGTACACACAGTGGGGACTTAAGTTTACGAATGGCTAACGCTTCGGCAAACTTCATTTAGCGCCTTGATTATTCTTGTATAATATCTTGAAGACTGTTTTCGTATTAACCCTGTGATTCATTTCAATGATGACAATGGATGTCTGTCACCTGCACTTATCAATGTTTGTGTGTGAAACTGTTTTTCTAGCCATTTGGAGATGTGTTCATCCACTCTAGTTTGCATTGAACGACTACTCCTCCATATGTGTGTGCCCACACATACATGAATAGAGAAAGAAGGATAATTTGGAGATATATAATCTCAAAGAATACTAACTGTCTTCGTTAGAGGCACATTCATAAACAGAGTTAACATCAAAAGAATACATTTTCTTATCTTTAATACTCATATCAATAAGACAATCACCAAGTTCAAAAGTATCTTTCAGTGAATACTTACATAAACCATTACGAATCGGGCTCAGTATTTCGATTAACCATTTCGCCAATTTGTATGTGGAAGACTGACACATTGACAATATTGGGCGTAGTGGATTACTGATTTTATGAATTTTTTGAAGTCCATATAGATTTGTAAAATCAGATCCATGGGTTTTAAGGAGTTGAACTTCGCTTTAGCAATAACGTCCACATTAGGGAGTTTAACTAGACTATATGTTACTTTTACTTTTAATTTTCTTATATCCTCTGATGGACTATCCGTTATGAATTCACTTTCGTCACAAAGAGTAGACATTTTATTTTTATGCTGTACGTTTTCTATCAACTCAACACCTGATCCTTTATCAGGCTTAAGAATGATTACATCAGGATTCTTCTGTAAGTTTTTCAGGGACTTAAAGTGTTGAGACTTAACTGATCATATAAATCATGTAGATCTAATTACACTGATATTGAAGGAGAGATTAAAATCTGCCATCAGTAAAACATGATATTTAGTTCAGCTTATCAATGTTGAGAACCTCTCCTGGTTAACTAGTTCACTAGTTACTAGCCAGTCTTAATCCCGGATAAAGTGAGAAGGTTGGGCATACGGCTAGCAACTCTACCCCGGAAAACCAACCCAATCGCTAACGAGACTTCAAAGCACAAAGAAAATACAAAAATAAAAATGAACTTATTCCTCGCTGGAATCGGAGGGACGAAATGGCGCCAGTTGGTGAAAGCCTTCGGGAAGCCATTTGGCCCATGTGTCCTCGCTTCTCTCGATGAAAGCGAAAGTAAACGTGGGAACATAGTATCCGCACCATGTATGAACCTAGCAAGGCTGCCCAGATTGCAAAAGAGATGAGGAGGTATGGCATAGAAGTGCTAGGAATCTGCGAAAGCAGATTGAATGGAAGTGGATTCTCCAAACTATCAACTGGAGAGTCAATAATCTACTGAGTTATGGGGTGGTTATCATGATGTCTCCAAGAACATCGAAGGCTCTCATGCAATGTGACCCAATCTTCTCAAGGATCATGACAGCAAGATTCAACTCAAAAGGTAGGAAAGTCACAATCAATGCTACGCGCCAACAAATAATGCAGATGAAGAGAAGAAGGAGGAATTCTACAGACAACTGCAATCAGTACTAGACAAGACTCCAGTTGGCGACATCAAAATTTTAATAGGCGAAACTCGGAGCAGACAACACAGGAAGAGAACTCATCGTGGGTCGAGAAGCACTCAGTGAAATGAATGATAATGGAGAACTGTTTACAGACTTCTGCACATTCAACTATTGGGTGATTGGAGGCGAGGCAGTGTGTACAAACACAATGATATTCACAAGGCAGCGACATGGATTTGATTTCTCCAGATGGACACAGCACACAAAATCAGATCGACTTCATTTCAATGTGAAGAAAGTGGAGAGGCAGCCAGCCTACTGGACACAGGACCAGATGAAGAAGAGGAGCAGATGTAGGTGGTTCACACCACTCACTATCTAGTGCAAGTTACCTACCTTCAAAATCAAGTTGAAAGCATTCATGGAAGCTGGTGATAGACCACAGTTCAAGTTCAACACCCAGAATCGATACTGAACTGAACTGAAGTGAAGGACGAAACTACAAATGACATCCTCATATCAGTCAGCCATCAGGAAGAAATGGGAGACGTTGAGCAACATCCCCATCCTGGGGGGACCTACATGGAAGAACACTGGGACTGTTTGAAAGCTATGTGGAAAGAAACCTGCATAACTGTGTTAGGTAGAAGAAACAACACAAGGAATGGATCTTGACAAAAGCAGTTTGTTGTTTATGATTTGATTATCTAAGATAGTTGTAGTTTGGCGGACTAGTATTTGTACTGCGTAACGTTTTAAGGTGAGATGAAAATCTGGACCGCTGCCGGACTCGAACCGGCGATCACGGGGTTACCGGCCCGGTGCTCCGTCAACTGAGCTACGAGGTCCGACTGCTGACCAGAATTTTATTTCACTTTAATCACCAAGGGTAGCTCGGTTGATAGTACTCCAGGCCGGTAACCCGGTGGTCGGTGGTTCGAATCCGGCCGCGGTCCAGATTCATATCTCACCTTCAATCATCACCCAGTACAAATTTGTTATTTCACCTAATTTACCTTCGTAATCCTTATCTGATTATATTATCAAGACTAGTGTCACAACCTTTCCATATTCATTATATTTGACCTTTCATTTGCATATATAAATTGACTTGACAAGCGAATATGTGGTCAGAGCATTAGAAATGTATCGCGCAAATACACCACACATTTCTCAAATAATCTTCGTCTTCTAATAGCATTACTGAAATTTATTAAAGGGACTAATTGTTTTGAAATATATTCGCTCAGAAAAATTCTTTAGTAGCCCAACGTTTAAACAGGACTGCATAATAATATGTCAGAATAATTTTCAAAATGACGTATTATCAACTGTAGGTATGCACAGAAAATGAAAAAATAGAATATAAGTGTAAAATTGTGAATATTGAGCGAGAAAGGGTGACAGTTGATAATTACAGCTATTGATTTAGTCCAAGATTTCAACAACGGTTCACAAGTTTTTGAAGTCCAATATGGAAGGGAAGCAAAGAACCATTGTCAGCAAATATTTGTTCGCTTTGTAGATGACTTTGAATAGTGAATCAGTTGTGGTGCTGTGATCAATGTGTAAAAAGATCCCATTATTTCTCTTTTGATGTCTTCACTTGCACCTCTTTCCAACCAGGTGGTGTAAAGTTCTGTAACCCGTTTGGGAAGAACGCATATTGAAAATTCTACATACCTGGCTCTATAGAAGCGGTGAATTGATAAACATTCATAGATTTCGTCAGATGTGAAAGCACATTTTTCGCGTTACCAGGAAACATTAATGAGTTTGAAAATTTTCTTTTCAAGTTATCAGCAATAAAGTTTCAATTTTGAAGTCCAGATTCACCTACGGTTTCTTCTTTGGAGATGAAATACGTGTTACTCTCTGTGGTTCAGGTTATACTTTCTCTTGTTTCATCATTCTTGGTGAATATTTGTTTTCAGCTAGAACGTTTTTAAAAAGCAGTTTCAATGGAGTTTTTGACACGAGTCCTATAATTATTTGCTTGGTGTAAAAAATACCAAGTTTAAGGTTGCCGAGGATAATGGCATCAATTATGCCTAATCATTTGCCCCATGTAACTAATTCCACAGGAACAGTTGAACTGATACATGCAAGATAAAGAGGTAAGATTAGGTAGGCTGTCCTTTAATCTGGGATTGAGTATTGGCCGACTATTGAATGATATACAAAACCGACCTTCATAAAACGTCCTATTGACTGCTCTAGCTAGGTGTTGTGATAGAATGTCAATTGCAATATCTCCCTTGAGTTTAGGACCAATGTAGTTTCGAATAGTGTTAATATAAGAATCTATGTAAAGAATATTAATAACGAAGTAAATTTTACATTGTTAGTTAACAAATAGGTCAGAGATTATTTATTGTTGCAAAGTTGATAAGTGGGTTCTATAATTTCCAGAAGAGTCATACGCTTGATAGCCCGTTTCCATCCACCAGGATGCTTTTCTTTAATTTGTCTATTGACTTGTAGAGTGATAAGTCGTGACGATTTTAAAAAAATGCGCTAGAATATATAGTGTGATTAGAAAGCATAACTGAATAATTAAAACAAAGTACAAAGGGGGTAAAGTTGATGCAATATATATGCTGCAGTAAAATGAGATAGCCGAAAGTTCAATTAGACCACCAATGGGATTATTTGAATAACATGATGTCATTGTATTTGGAAGAAGAACAAGTATTTCAGTAAAGCCTTTTTTTTTAGCAATTTCATTCTCAAAGTATTTATACTACTTTTCTTGCTATGTCTTTCACAAACCACTTTTAATTGTCAAACCCTAATACAACTTCTTAAAAGATTTGTTATTATACAGCTTTGAGAATGAAATCACCGAAAAGAGACTCTTCTTCTTTTATGTCCTGATGAGTGTCACTTTATTTCACAAGATTTTCATTAGCTATATACTACCTATATAAATAAGTACTTTCATGGTACTAATTTATATATTAAAAAGACAAAATGAAGGACAATTTAACAAAAATGTTGTACACTTAAATTCGGTCAAAGTTCACTTAACCCTGTTTCTCCCACATTAGCTGTTTACCTTAAATTTGTACTGGAAAAGAAATGTTAATCCAATCTTCGGATAGTTTCTTCTATAAACCAACTTATTGAATAACAGTTGCTTGTTCATTAGTGACTGCGTTTCACATGGATTTCCCAAAGTGTCCGTTTCTTGTAGCACGAAGAAGTCTAAAGTAAGGACTGATGTACATCAGTGACATTGGATGCTGATCCTTTTATGATTACAAATAGATAAAGGTTCAAACATTCGAACCGTACGATTCCAACACACCTGGTGCTTGCTAATATGATCATCACAAAATCTAATGATTTTGACCTTTGCTTCATATTTGGTTGTAGGTTCATAGTTGTAAAAAGAGATTCGTCCAGTATTCCTTGGATTTCAGTTATTCCTCAGCCTGGGTTTATCTGCAGCAAGAACTGTGTTGGAATGATAGTGGCTTTTCGTTGTATTTTCGCTCCACTGTCGATTTCCAACGAGTAAAGTATAAAAGAGAGTGTTATTATATTTTTGCATACTTATGTTGCACAGATTCACATATGCGATAAGATTAACTAAGTGTTTTACACTCGGACAGATTAGCCATAACAAATTTCGGAACTCCACTATGCTTATTCCCAAACCCAGTCTCTACTAGTCAAGTAAGAATAAAACGAAGCAGAAGAAAATTGAACGCTTTTATTACTGCTGTGAACCGATAAGGATAAGAAGGCAAGTGCATATACAAGTTTTCATCAAGTAATCTTACTAACCATCTATTCAGGAAACCAATTTATGCAGTCTAGTTCAGAATTTAAGGGATATTGGAAATGATGGAAAAGGTTTGTAGCTCAAGATCAGAATGTTGGTTATTCAGTGTTCTCTGAGATTCATGGACATCTCATCACTTGGCCTGATGACATCTTCAGTACTAATCTCATAAAGAAGTTATTGTTGAGGACATCGATGACAAAATACGCAAGCTCAGAGAACGCTGAACTGTCATTAGAGGATGTTCAAATATTCTTTTTTACCCCGGTATTTTGCCACATAGTTACAATTCAGTGTAAACTCATACAGTAACCGAAATTAGCTGTAAATCTTTGATACTTTCTTCGTTTATATCCTGTCAACAACAGGCATAATACGCCAAGCAATGAATTATACACTCGTGTTACTCGTGAACTTTCACGTGCCCTATGCAGTTGGATTGATGGCGGTACTTCGTCTAGTTCTTCAGAAACTTGTATGAAATTATCAAATTGTAATTTGTCTCATGAAAAGGATGAAATAATGAAGATTTCAGATGATGAAAAGTTGAATGAAATGAAAATTTGTAAATATGATAGTGGCAGTACTACTACTGCTACTACTAGTACTAATAATAACAGTGGACCTAGTTTAGGCACTGCTGTACACTCAATGAATACTTTATACGGTATTCTAGTCGCTTTGGCTGAGTTCGGTAATCAGTGTCTAAGAGTAATTGTATTACCACTGTTAAGCTCACTTTGTCATCGTTTAACCAAGTTAACAGAGCCAAATATGCCAGAAAATGAAACGAATGAATTAAATATGGATGAAAGTGGCACCGGTAGTGGTGGTGATCTGAAGTCTTCCCAACAACATTTAGCTCTATCGCCAAGTATAGGAGGTAAACTTTCACCAGTTGATCAACGGTCATTTGATTCTCTCAAAGTTATGATGACGGTAAGTATTTTTTTTCTAATCGTTTCTTTTTCTCTGTCACAAGAAATGCATTTTTACCACTAATTTAGTTTACATACTTTATGCATTGTAAATGGGAAGTGTTTGCAGCTTAGGCTGTGGTTATTCAAATTAACTAGTTCTGTGAGATAGGATTCTGGTTGGCAAATGTTTCGATGTCATACTAGACACCATCATCAGTGCTCCGTAGGAAAATGACGTAATTACTTGTGGATGGATATTTATAACGCACTGTTTTTTCTGAACGTAACCTAATTCGTTGATTGCTAATTGTATGTGTGTATGTTGAACTTGATTGGTTGATTTTCGCTTTCAGCGTTCTCAGAGAAATGTGCAACTATGCTATTGGTTGATAGACTTAAGATTACACTCGTTGACTCTTGCTTAGAGTACACGAGTAGTAGGAACAGTATGAAGAGTGTTTTAACGAAAAAACATAGAGAAGCCTTGGAAAAGCTTAAAACTAATGCAAATATCGTGATTGCCAAGCCAGATAAAGGGTCAGGAATAGTTTTAACGGATAAAAAAGAGTACATAGACAAAATGTATTCATTACTTAGTGATGAAAGTGAATTTCAGAAATTAGCCGCTTATGGTGATACAATAGAGAAAACCGAGAAACATCTAACTGAATCCCTGAAAAGGATAAACCAACAAGGTTTCATTTCAGAAAGCACCTTTGAAATGCTGAAACCTACTGGAACCCTTACACCTAGACTTTACGGCCTACCGAAACTGCATAAAAACGGTCTGCCTCTACGACCAGTTCTTGACATGACTAACTCTCCGTATCATACAACAGCTAAATGGTTGGTACAACTTTTGAAGCCTCTCCACAAAGAAGTTGTGAAGTACAGTCTCAAAGATACCTTTGAATTTGTCAGAAAGATTGAGGATCTGGAAGTAGATAATAAGTTAATGATTTCATGTGACGTTTCATCTCTTTTTACTAACGTTCCTTTAATAGAAGACTTTATTTGCAACGAACTCACGAAGCATGGCATGGAAATAGGTATTCCAGTCCCCACATTGAAAGAACTACTTCTGAGGTGTACGATGAATGCACAATTTCTTTTCAGCAATGAACTCTACCGGCAATCTGATGGTGTTGCTATGGGGTCATCCCTTGGCCCACTCTTAGCAGATTTTTTTCCGGCAAAACTTGAGAATGGTCCACTGAACGATACTATAAGCCGTTTAGAGTTATATTGTCGTTACATGGATGATACCTTTAACGTTCTCAAAAGTGAGACTGATAAGAATGCTATTCTGAATAAGTTCAATAATGTTCACCCGGCAATCAACTTCACAATGGTAAGAAGGTCAGATAGAACCCTGAAGCGAAGTGTTTATAGAAAGCCAACATCAACCGGTCAATATACGCACTTTTTTAGTGCTGTACCCCTCCAATACAAAAGGAACCTAGTGGTATGCTTAGCATACCGTGCATCAGCTATTTGCTCAGAGGATGCTATGAAGGAAGAGTGCGCTACCATCCGTGATCTGCTTAGTAGGAATGGCTACCCAGACAAGTTTGTAACTAAGCACATGAATATTACGAGGGTTAAGAAAACAATACCAACAGTTCCTAAGGAGCAAATCTTCTTGAAGCTGCAATTTAAGAGTGATATTGCCAGTGAAATCATCACACAAGGTGTAAAAAGAGTCTTGCATAAAGCATTCCCAGCCGCTAAATTATGTCCCGCCTTCTACAACCGCCCGATTGTAGGTGCAAGAAATAAAGACAAACTGCCTGATTCTGCCACTTCTATATGCACTTATCAATTCAACTGCCCCTGTGGAGCGAGTTACATTGGGCGTACAATAAAACAGTTCCATCGTCGAATTTCTGAGCACTACCCATCATGGTTGAACAAGGGACAAATTAGAACTACAAAGAACTCCATACTTGCTCACTTAGTTGACACAGGACATCAGGTGGTTACTGGAAAAGCCTTCAAAATTATCCATCAGATTCCAATTAATTTACCTCATGAATTACGCACTCGGTTACTTCACATAGCAGAGGCGATTGCAATCCACCTTTACAAACCTAGCCTTTGTATCCAAAAGAAGTTTGTTCGACCACTTTCATTACCGTGGCCGTCAATATGATGTAACTTCTAGGTTTATTTTGTGCATCTCTTCCCCTTCTTGTTTCTATCAATATTCATATTTCCTATTTTAGTAACCCTATTGATTATTTACATCATTATTTCCGAAACAACACCACGTGATTGGTAATTTGATTAAATTGTAAACCTATATATTAGTGTAGAGCCCAAGATGAAGACCTAATCGTAAAGGAATATATTTCTTCGCTCAATCAGTCTTTTTCTAAATGTCTAAATGGGAATATTCAATGTATTTTTGTTGTTTATATGCAGTAAGTTGAACTGACTTCGTTATGGTTGGTTGTCCCTTCTTCTTATCTCAATGAGCTGATGAAGACAACGTTTATCTACTTGGTTGACATTTTTGTTTGACTGAACTGCTGAAGGTTTTCTTTATCTGGTTAATCTACCCTTCTCAGTAGTTGAGGTGATCCATCTGAAGAGGTGCTCTTTGTCATTGCTAAATAGTTTATACTAGTCGCTAGATCAGATGTGATTAAAAAAAAGACAGAAATCAACGCGAATCTCCTGCAAAAGTACATCTCTTATGTAAATTAAAAGTTACAGGAATTCATTTGCACAAGTTGAAACTGTATATTGGACATTCTTTTGCACACTTACCCTAGCAATTTGCACAATTAATCATAAATTCATAAAGGACTATCCAACAATTTCCTCCTTTGTTTGTTATTAATTTTATTGTTATTGGTATCAATATTATTAAATGAGATATTCAGAGATAGCTGGAATGAAGCATTCTGTATTCATCAGACGTTTTACCTTCAACCTCAAGATAACTGATTTCCTTTCAAAGATCCGAACCGTATCGTCCACTTAGGAAGTCATAAACATTACCGCAGGGTTATTCGAGCTGCAATTCACCTCATATAGAGGTGGATAACATACACTAACTGGTCAATAAAGAGTAACTAATTTTATGTTGTTGAATCCAAAGTGCTGAATATATTCTCTAGATAATTTTTCAGTGTTTTCAACAAGCTAGTAGGCGCACCATCGCAATCCACCTTTGGTCAATGCTTGGTGATTACAGACAGTTGGCAGAAAGCCATCAAACTAAGTCTCTGGGCTTTACCGTCAGACATAACTATTTGGGTTCAGTGTACAACTTATAGGTAACGCAACCACCTCCTCTACATACATTTGTTATGTTTTCCTAGTATCCACGAACTTCTAAACCAATATTCCTCAAATTGATGTCCAGGATACTGGTCATAAAATTTGGTAACATCCCTCGGGAAGTAGGTTTTACCCACTGAGGATGATGATCCTCATTAGGAAGTATATTGCTGATATAATGAAGATAAGCTTTTCGAAAATTATTTCATCGTCTTCCAACTGTCATGCATTAATACAACTAGAAATTCAGGCATACGTAGGCACTGAAAACATAGATCCTGGTGCAGATGCATAATGGTACAAGTCACTTAACTTTAATTCTCAAATAATTTATATACAGTCAAAAAAAATAAATACAGAAATGTGAAAATAAAGAATGTGATATGTTGACCGGATACACAGTCTAGAACTGATACGCATGTGAGCTCAAAAACAATAATCTTCAAGTTTCACCCTCCTCTAAAATACAAAGAAGTGATCAAAAGAAAAAGACCTATCGTGAGGTCAAAGAATGTACACTATCTAAAGCTATATACATGTATGTTCAGTAGCCTTGATATTTGCAAAACTTATGCACAATGTTTGTTGAATTACGTTCAGGCTGGAGAGAAGTTAGAGGCTGTCAGACTAAAACCTGAAATTAGTCTATACAGTCTCTCGCTGCTGATCTCAACCATGCAAAGAAAAGTAAATGCCTACTTTGGCATCCATGTGACAACAGAATCTACTGGTTGAAGAGTTCTGAGTGACATGCTTCAGAATTGATCCCAGTGGTCCATATGCGCCCTCACAATATCTTCATCTTAATCATCATATCTAACATCATCCTCATTCTATTTCTTTTCCTCTATTTGAGTATTCATACCACTTTGACCACTCTCTTCCTTATTTGTCTATCTTTCATTTGTGTACCTTCTACCTTGATTTGTTGATATATGATGTTGTAATTTTGACAGGTACGCAGTAATGTCGGATCCTGTGATGATATTATTTATTTCTGTCTTGTTAGAAAGTAATATTTCCTATCGATTTAGTCTAACCTGCCAGTCTGAAGCCTACCCATATGAACACGTTTTTCGACGTGATTTTGAAGGTTTTTAGAGAAATTTCTGGCTTCTTCAAAGAATCTAGAAGGTAATGCTTCGCTCCAAATTAGATCTAGGTGAAGATAAGTTAAAGGTGTATGTTAAACTCTGCAATCAACTTGGGCAATGTCTCAAGAAAGCCGCCATCAGTTTCATTCGCCCTGATAGCTCCAGCTAGACTGTCTACACTTCTGTCTACGTTTCCAAACAATAGTCACTGATTTAGTCGGTTAACATTATCTTTTATTTGGCTGCTCTTAGTCCCTTCCCAAACTTACTCTAGATAATGTGTGACAATGCGATACATGCACGTCTACAGGTAAAATGTAGAACTAACTAGCCGTTCAGCAGTTACAAATGACAAATACATAGTCTCTTAAATTTAACTGAGATTATCTGGCGTAAAATTTCAATTGGTCTAGTAAAATATTTGGTAATTTTTAAAGCAGTCTGCTTTGGATTGTAGCACCTTACTGTTCAAAATTAAAACCGATGTAAGGTGCACGTAGTTTAAACACTTTATAAATAACGCTTCTAATATCACATTTGGATGATGAGTATCTGGATTTGGCAAACGACATCACTATATG